CCCTTGGAGGCGTGACTCTCACTTTTGCTGCCACCACTTTCCCCGACATGAGCAGGAGTAGCGCGACTTCTCTCTTGCGGCATGTCATGTCCCCGAAGTTCTTGAAGTATGTAGGACACAAATCCTTCCAGGACACGGTGGAACCCTTCGGACCATCTCTCGCATATATGCAGTGGTACAAAGTCCGTTGTCCCTTGTTCTCGTCAGTGTACGGCCCGGGCAGGCGCCCCTCCATCCTCCCCGACATCTCAAGTGGGATCTTACCGTCGCCGATTGGCAGCTTACCCTCCTCGAACATCGCGAAGAACTTCTCCACCAGCGGCCAAACCGTGCGGGTGGACGTGGCAAGGCTTAGGTATCCCCAAAGTTTGTTACTCCAATCCTTGTTGTATTCGTTGTCGAGTGCCTGTTTCACGAATGCCTTGTCGCACGCCTTCCTCATGCAGGCCCTCAGGAAGTTCTGCCACGTTTTGTAATGCGCAACGGCGACGACATCCTTCTTGCTGACCTTAGCTTTGGGTGCCTCGATCCTGTTGTTGTCGATCCACTATTGCCGCATATCACGCACAGCGTCCTGGAAGGATAACATCATGGCGCGATTCTCCCGTGTGTTGTCGAAGAGGGAGACATTGAAGTACCCGCGTGTGTGGTCATCATCGAAAAAAACGACTCGCACTTTAGAGTACATGCGGAGGCCGTAGACTTTGACGGCGGGGGAGTCCTTTCCAACCAACCGTTTCATGGCCTCGGCAGTATGCTGACCGCAGACAGCGTACCTGTCGAACTCACCAGAATCTCTTTGGAAGAACTCGTCCGGCGGGATTCGCCTTCCCTGCCCCCCGACGGTGACGTTGGGGTCAACCGGCGCAAGAACGAGCTCAGGTCTATCCCACACCCCCGGGTCAGCACTGATGGAGCTTTCTATGGCACTCTCGATGCCTCTCACAATGTTTTCAGACAACAAACGGTGGTTAAATAGGATCTTCCCACGGGGAATGGGTTTGATCTATTAACGTCGACGTTAACAACTTGGACGTCTTGCCAGGCGAAGCCCTGTTCGTCGTATTCGAGGAAGAAACATCGTGTCGTGTCCACGGGCGCGGCGTGCTGAACCAGCTCTTCAATGTCCTCGGGCATGCGAGGGCCCACCCCCTCGCCCTCATCCCCCGAGTCCCGCAGCTCAGGTGCCCTGGACCTCTGCGAGCCTTTCCTACCGCCTCCGCGACCGCCCCCACGGTTGCCACTTCGTCCCCCCCCACCAGTTTTCCGAGGAGCCCGCGCTTCCTATGATGCCGTCAACGCTCTGCGAGCTTCATTGACGGCGATGGCCCTCGCCTGTTTTGTTCGACTCGCAGGAGAGGTCGATGCCTTTCCCCTCTTTCGCTTTCCCCGTGAGCCAGGTTCGTCTCCCCCATCCTTCGTCTGGTCATAGGACTGCGACATTCCGCGGGAGGCTCCAGGCTGGCCACTAGCATCGACAGCGTCACCGACGCGGCAGGCGTCGTCCTCACAGCGCCCCTGCGATTCATTTTGGTGGCGACAGTGAAATTGGGAGGAGCGATTGTCTTGGACTTCCTCACCAACATCGTCTCTCTCCTCGTCCATGCCATCGTCCTCACCTTCAGCATCTCCTTCGTTACCGTCGTCCCCCTCAACACGCCCTCCCCCTCCTCACCACCGCCCTCCCCCTCCTCACCACCGCCCACCCCACGCCAACCACCGCCCTCCCCATCTTGGCCCTCGCATTCGTCGTCATCGAAGGCACCCGCACCTCTCCGGGAATGATGTCGGGGACCAGCCCCATAGCGCACAGCTCCGTCGTCGTAGTCTGTGGCCTTGCTAGACTGCTCGGCCGCATCGCGACCTTTCCGATCCGAGGGCCGAACCGGAGCGGGCAGAGCCTGGACAACCGCAGCCGACGAAGACGGGGCAGTCGCGAATTGCGTCCTCTTTCCACCCGCTCTGGGCAGCTGATCCTGGAGCCGTTTGGGCCTTGCAGCCGACGAAGACGGGGCGTCAATCGGCACGAAAATATGGTCAACTTGCTGGGCAGCAGGCAGCCTCGCGAACTCTTCCCTGTATTGCATAACGAATGCTGCGAGTTGGTCCGTCGGGCTGTTGAATTGGACCAAAGGTCTGTTGAGCATGAAAGCGCTGTCGACGACAGGTAGGGAACCAGTCACGCGGTAGCCATTGGTTTTGGAAAGAAACTTTTCCGGATCCATCATTTGGAACTCCGTTCCGTTCCCGCGCACGTCAAACGCTTTCATCGACAAAGCCTTGATCCCGTATCCTTGGAAGAGTCGATGGTCAAGAGACACCTTCTTGTCTTCCTTGACCAAGTTTATCCCCTCTCTGTCATAGACAGACGTAAGGAAGAAGGTCCTGAACTTCCTGCCGTCGTAGGTAAACCTCCCCGCTTCCGATTTCTCCACCCCTCCGCAGCAGTACCAACTCAGGCCATTGTCATCGCTAAAAAAGACAACGGCTCCGCAACCCGGCATATGAAGGTCACCCACCCAATCAAGAGCCCATGGTTTATCGTGGTAGAGCTTAGACTTGCTGTACCATTTTTCGGGGGCGGAGCCAGACGCTGTTTTTCCTGAAGGGTCGCACAAAAAAAGACAACAAGAAAACAACACTAAGCGACATGAAGAAACATCCGTCGCGGCACGGGAGTTCCGCTACCGCCCCACGCAGCAGGTCC